ATTAATTATGCGGCGATCTCATCGAACGAACCGCGTTCACAGATAACGAGGAGATCAGGGTTGACCGCACCCTACACCGCTGAAGCATGTTAGTGACTCCGACATAAAATAGATGCTCGTTTTCTTTTTACCCACTCGTACCCTTAAAAGAAAAAAAGGAAAAAAAAAAGACAAACAAAGAAGATCATTGTAAGAAGAAGGGAGCGTTACCAAACTCCTCCCACCCCGTTCGCTCGGCTGCTTCTTCTGACTTATCGGCGATTACGGGTTTGAGAAAATGTGCGCGTGGTGCTTTACAACCCGAGATAACTATCAGAAGAAGCGGCCGCCGCGCCGTGGCTAATGGTTAGTATCGTCGAGATTCATCCGCCTGACTACATGCAGCCAGGCAGAAGAAACTGGTTGCCCGCCGTCAGCGCACCCCGGTTTAATTCAAATAAAGTCCATCGCCGCGAATGCTTGCGTTCCCGCCCGTCTTCCGTGCCGGCACATCGCAACTTGCGATCTCGGTAGCCGGGAATTATGGTCGACGTTCCGTAACTAGTTTAGGAGACGCGCCGCTCGTCGCCATTTCGAACCAAGTGGTTGGGGACTTCGACCATGCTCTGCCATGGAACGTGTCTCCGGTTGGTGGGTGCGTTTATTGTCCGAAGTGGCAAAAAATTAAGTCACAAAAGGCAACGCCCGCGGAGCTTGCTTCCACGGGTGTTGCTTCTCTGCAGCTCACCGGTGCTTGGTGAGAAGCGCACTCAACGGGGTTCAAGCAGGGCAGGGCTGTATATGCAGACAGTTTGGTCATTCATTGGGAAGTATAGGAGGCAAATGAGGAGACGCCATTGGCCAAAAGCGGGCTGGGCGTGCTCTGGGGCGTCTTCACGAATTCGGAAGCCGGAAATAATGCTCTGGCGGTGGTCGCGAGAAACAAAATTAATAAGTGCGGCGGACTAAATCTCTCGGTGACTAAAAGTACGGTGTACGTGATGTTTAAGTCACGGTCATCCAAAATCACGGTGGAAGAGCGCGATTAGCGGAACGGTCGACATAATCCATACGCCGGGCGCCGAGGGTCGGAAATCTGCCGTCCGAGCAAAACAGAGTTTGAGTGGCACATTTCGTTTCTTGCATCTTTTTGCACGATCGTAATCGAAGCATCCCGTGCACCCTATTTTCAACCATGTAGAGTTACTACGTTTAACCCTTACGCTCTTATTAAAACTGTTTCTCGCTACCACCGCTAGGGGATTCTTTTCGGGTTCCGTTTGGCCAAGAGAGCATGCCGAGCCCCCTTTCTGCGTCTGGTGCACGCCCTGGCTCCGCCCGCTCCTTCCATTGACCAAAATCTCTCTATACACAGCTCTGGCATACGCGTCTATGGCGTTGTCAGGTGGAAATCCTAGGATCCGTTTTTTAGGACTGCTCGGTAAACACAGCAGTCGGAAACTCGTACCAGGCACAATAGACTTTAACTGACGGCGTTTTCATTTGGTGGGTCTTGAGGTAAATCAAGAAAACGGGTGCGAATTCGAAAGTTTATTTATTTATTTATTCATAACACCGAAGTTCCGTGAATTTCGCGACTTGAATAATATCGCGAAAAATAGATCCCGCGAATCTATGGTTCCCTATGGTAACAGATACATGGCGTACAACCCTCGTTCGCGAAATTTCGGGTCCGTGATATATTTCCGAGAACCACACACTTTACAGCAAATTCTCAAAATATTTAGCCCGCGAAACTAAAGTCGTTTACAGTATTTGGGCTAAGTAGGGGGGCTAGAAATTATTAAATTACAGATATAAACGAAACAATGGGCAAGACATAAAATCCCAAAACAAATTGAAAAAAAAGTAGACTCATAATTTAACAGGAAAAATGATTAAAGGAGCTGTGCAACGATATTCAATTGGAATGTTTTTCTCTCTACACGAGCTTAATGGCACACCTGGGACTCAAGGATACTCACACGCAACGCCATTGTCAAAGAAACTCCTTTGTTGCGGTGTAATTCCAAGGACAAAAGCGATCATTTTCATTCAATCTCTCCTTTGCAAAATTTGATGACGTAACTCGGGGATCGCAGTACACCCAAGTGACGATATTTGAATGCGGTTCATAGATTGGACCCGAGCATTGCGTGGGCACTCGACTTGGGCTCGTGACAATTGCTAGCTCGAGGAGCATTCGGGTTGTGAGCCGTGTCCAATCGCTGCAACGATGACAACAGCCGAGCCATAACAACGTCTGGAACTCAGCGCGTGTCCTGCGCTTTGCCAACCCCAGCGCGTGGCTATGATCAACACTGGCGGCATATAATCGGCTCCAGATCACGTGGCCGCTTGTTCTGGGTGCGAGTTGAGGGGGTGAACGCTGCTCGTTTTTCTTTAATTTTTTTCTGGGACTTATATTGCGTGGGGTGAAAAACGAACGCCTGTTTCATAGGTCATTAACGTTAGGGATCCGTTTTAAGCGGTATTTGCGCAAAGTACAAAAATTGTTGCATCGCTCCTTTAAGCAATAAAACACTGTATATAACATAATAAATGCTCGTGGTTACAGTTCAAATGCAGCAACAAAAAGCGAATGGATGAGTTAAACAAAATGCATATGAAACATCTTTAATCTACCTCAAGAAGGGAACGTAGTAGACAAGTAAGTGACATACGATTCTTCTCGCTGAACAATGGGGCTTCAGGGATGAGCTCTAGAGATGCAGGAAGACTCGAATTTTACTTGGAACAGACGAGTTGATGAACGCGTTCGTCGAACCGGTTATACCTTGAAAACGTTTACTGTTTGTGGAGCGATGAGATATGGTCTGTGAAGTGGTTGAAGGCAGGAAACACTCGAGAAATGGTGGCTGTACTAGAACGTATACGAATTAGGCACAAAAAGATCAGTAGTTGGACGTTCAGGACGTTAGGGCATACGATTGTGCGATGTAAACCGCTTAGGGTGCCCCGGTAAATGTAATCTCATCTCATCACGGCTTCGGGCGCGAGAGCGGAGGGAATCGATGGAACGCTGCATTTTGGTAGCTCGCTATGATTATCCTCGGCGTTCCTAAAAAAAAAACACGATAGTCCTTTTTGTGGCTGTTCGTTTACAGATTTGTCATTTTCTTGGTCATTTGCTTTCAAGTTTTTTGTTTTGTTTTCCCTTCCCTCGTCGGTTGCGTCACACAGTTTCCCTTTAGAGAACCCACGCATTTTCTTAAATAATGGGAATAACCGTAATGAAATTCACCGAAGCACGGTATTTCAATTACGGCCGCAGCCATTCGTCTTATCGATGTGGTTCCGCTTTCGCGAAACAAGGGGGTTTGCTGTGTCTTGTGTTTTGTGCAAAATATTTTCTCGTTTTTTTTTTTTTCGCCTTCTGGATTCTGTAATCCAGATCCCACTTACCTACCCGTGCACCCAAAATCCTAAATAACAACCTTAAAAAACAACAACGAAGAAAGAACGGTGTTAAGAAAGGAAAGGCTCGTCGGCATAATAATAAAATCAAAACGAGAACGAATTTGTAAACCTCATTTTCTGCGATTTTCCGGTGCAACATCCGGGGTACTTAGAAAAAAAAAAAAAATAAAAGCACCGGCGCCATTACCCTTCGCGAAATGCCGCCCCTTTTTGAACGTTCCGCTGCGCCGTACGAAAATGCCCAATTAGGATACAGGGGGGGGGGGGGGGGGGGGGACGTTCTCGACACCCAGCGGAGCAGGACGGAGCTTCGCTTTGCGCCAGGAACAATGACAAACGAGACGAGGAAACATACAAAAACAAAACAAACCGTCAGACAACAACAACAACAACAACAACAAGCGCATAAGCAGATGGTAAGAGCACCGAGATTCTTCTTCTATTGTCTCGGAGTGCGCCAGGCGTGCCCACAGATAGACGCTGTAATGCGCTGCTGCGTCCCCCCCGTAAAACTGGCCACCGAAGGCGACACACGGTGCGTTTTTGGCGTCTTCTCTTTGCGCTCGTGATACGGTGGGATGCCGTGATCGCCTCCCCGTGCGTGGGGACGGACGCGCTCGCACGCGCTCGGGCGCATGCGTTAACTCGACGCTACGTCACCTCGAGTGGCCGCGGTGCTTATCGACGTCCGCGAAAACTGCTTTGGATTTGCCTCCCCGCACTTGAAAAGAAAGTCTGTCTGTTCGCTTTCCCGCAGAGCACTTACGTAGGTAGCTAACCGCGACGGACGATAGAGGGATGCCCGCTGAATGACGAAGATGAGCGCACGATGATATCTTCAAAATGCGATGTGCGCAAGGACTTTAAGGGTGCATGTGCCAGGGGAAAACCATTCTTTTTTTATTGTCTACATGAAGTGAAAAAAAAAGAAGAAAAAACAAAGTTCGCAGTTAATAGCGCTAGATCTTCATCTCTATACATCTGGTAATCGTTTTGATATAGCTTGTTTTCTATGTTCTGGATGCAATGCACGTGCACAAAATACACGTTATTGCTCAGACGTGGGGCGTGGTAACGAACTTAAGAGCCTAGCAATATAAACGAGGTCGTTACTTTTAAACCTATGATTGCAATGTTTGCGAGACCAGCTTCGTTTTGAACTAATTGAAGATGGTAAAATCCCCAATTTCGACGGGCTAACCTAAGTTTCTTATATTCTTCATAAATAAATTAAAAAAAGACATTCTAACCAAATTTTAGTGCACGCTCTGAGGCGTTGATATCCGGGAAAGTTGGGGTTGTTTACGCGTCAGTATTTTCGTGCGTGCTCGAAATCAAATGGTGACATTGTCATAAGCGACAATGTTTCTCAGACCGCGTGGAGCTGTCGACCCTGCAAATGCAGCAAAACCTTCGGCCTAGCTACGCGTAGATCGGAGGTGTTTCCAGCGCTGTCCGATAGGTGGCGTCAGTGATATGTAGCCTGTTTTCTCGTCGTAGGTGGTTCAAAGCGGTCGCGACGCACTCGGTCATACTCAGAAAAAAAAAAAATGTTTTGAACTCTATGAATCGCTCGTGGAATGCAGAAATATCCAGCGTTTGTGTTCGAGTGTTTTTGTGGAAATTCAACGGTGACCCGTCCTTTTCTCTTTATCGCAGCAGGTGGCGCTGGCGGCGGTGCTGGCGGCGCGGGCGGCGGCTCGGTGTACAAGACGGCGTACGCGTGCGAAGGCAGTCAGCTGAGCTTCGCCTGCCCGGAAGGTCAGCTGATCTCGCTCATCCGGGCAAACTACGGCCGCTTTTCCATCTCCATCTGCAACGAGCACGGCACGCTGGACTGGAGCGTGGACTGCAAGTCCAACCGGTCCTACAACGTCATCCGGGAAAGGTATACGGCGCCTTTTCCACTCCTTGCTAGTCGCAATATTAATAAAAGAACAATAATGACAGGATAAAAACGCCATCAAAATTTAATGTGCTTTCTCACTCTTTGCTTAGAGAGGAAGAAGTAGCACAGTATCATAATAGAGCAAACAAAGGAGATAGTGGTAGAAGCGCGTTAGAATTTCGATATACTTTCTCGCTTCTGCGCCGAGAGGCACGCGGAGGCGAGGAAGCGAAGCAATAAAATAGCATATAATCAAGATGGCGGTCGCGACTTTTGGGATGACGTCATTTATTGGAGTAGAAGCGCCGAATTTTCTCCACTGACACCTAGTGCGTCTGCCGGCTAACGTAACGGGTGCCTTTGCGTCGTCACCGAAACGATGCCGTAAGGCCTCCGTTTTACAAGTGGCGAACTGGTAGCGTGCACGGAGGAGTATCGGAGGGCCGCCCGTGCCAAATATTTTGCCACGAAGGTGACGTAGAGATGACTGCTTTCGCTCCGTTGAGTGGAATATAGCGCGTCTTACTAGACATCTAGTGACGTCATCGTAAGTCGCGCCGCTAGCCGTCACGTCACCAATATGGTGGTGTGTCTTCGGTACGTCCGCGATTATCGCGACGTCGTCTGTATACGAGGAATAAAGATATACAAACATTTTGACATCTGTGAAACGGGCTTACCTGCGTAGAAACGGCGACGTGATTGCGCAGGATAGCATTACGCAAGCAGGGACGGCAACTAACCTCCGACTAGGGAGTCGTTTTCTACTACAAGACTGTAGGGGGTATTGACTGGACGCCATATTTGAGGGCGATGTTTACAGCCCTCAAAACGAGTTCACATCAACAGCCCGCTAAGGCCGGCAACCTTGATGGTGCGCAATGCACGTTTGCAGAAGAATTGCTGAAGCTGGCCGCCCCCCACGCGCGTTCAACAGCCGACCACGCAGCTATGGCCGCCAGTGAGTAGTCCCTATAGGGAGTAATCACTGGCGGCCATAGCTGTGGGCGCGAATGCTGAGCGCGTGCTGATGGCGAGCTTCCACAGTTCTTTCGCAACGTGCATCCCGCACCATCAAGAGTGCCGGTCTTAGCAGCCTTTTAATGTGGGCTCGTTCCGAGCATGCGCTCTAAACAACACCCACAAATATGGCGTCTAGTGAATACTCCCTATAGATGTATTCTTGTTGCTATTCAATCGAGATTATTTCGTCTCGGTATGTTGGGAATAAAGTCACGTGGTAAAAAAAGAGTGGCGCCGGACTCCGGCCTGCTTGGCAACCAGTATATAACGTAAATAACATGTATACTTTAGAAGTCAAGTAAAGGAAGCGCGATCGTGCTGCGAGATTCGATTAGCCGGCCGATTCACCGGCATTAGCAAAAAGAGCGTCGCTATAAGACGCTCAATTAGCTCTAAAAATGAGAGTGCGCGCCTTTAATTAAAGCGACAGACACCGACAATTTAAGAAAGCTGCAAGGGGACCTTGCGAACCCCTAGCAGCTTGTCGCAGCCACCCCCTGCGATTCTTAAGTCGCTAGTGACTTTATTCAGGAATGCTAAAACCATTCTCCTTTGTCACGGTGTAAGAAAGGCTCTCTTTGTCCAGACGACTCACCATGCTGGTCCTTACCTAATTGTTTTTTTTTGTCACGTGACTACTTTCCCAACACCCCCCACGTGGTAAACCACACCAAAAAGATCACCTTTGTCTATCCGTCTGTCTACCGCGAAAATAAGAATGAAAAGTTATAAAGCTCAGCTGTCTATCTTCACCCATCCACCACCACGCATTTAAACAACGGCCACGAAGGGGAAACGCGCGAGGGGGGTTTATTGCATTCTGGGGCGGCGGTTATTTATAAGTCCCGCTCTACGCGCGCTCCTTCCCTTTCTACCTCGTTTCCCCCGCCGCCATTCGGCACCCATCCAGCCATAACAACGTTCGCGATTCGCGCTCTCTCGTTGTGTTATTCGCCTATATAATACTCCGGCATGGATGGAGGGACGCGCGGCTGTAAATCACGGCCGCACGGGATCGTAAACGAGATCTCGCGAGACGCGGGCGGGCTCGCGCGTCTGTGGTTGCGAGTTGCAACACCGAGATGTCTTTTGACTGATTTATTTTCTTTTTGAGGGAACGCCAGATATGGGAAAGACGACGCCGCGTGTTTGTTACATGGGTTTCGGTGGCCTGGAACGCGGTTTCGGCTGGTGTTTGGCCTTTTTGCCGCTTGGGGCGCGTCGAAGATGCTCCACTAACGATGACGTCGTGCGGAGGCCTTTTCTTCTAGGCGGTATGCGGAGCGCTAGTTCGTCTGCTTCTTGCAGTGATGTCAGAACGCCAAGCTCTTATTGGCTGATTGAGAATAAATAGTGCGTAGACCTCAAGGCATCTGGCATTGAGGTCTAGCACCCACTGTACTTTCAGTCAAAGCCAATCAGAACGCGGCGTTCTTCTGACGTCACCGGCGACCTGCAGCGCGTAAGAGGCGTCTGCCACGTCCAGCACCGCTGCTGGTGACACCCGCCAGGGTCGCTGCGGGCGACAGCGTGACGTTTCGATGACGTCGTTAAGCGGACTTTTTAGGACGCGGTAAACTCGCCTGGGCGGAGTTGTGTTCAAGGTGTTATAGTTGCAAACTGCGCCACCAAAATCTTTCCTTTTTTTTTTGAGGGGGTTGGGGGGGGGGGGGGGAGGGGGGGGGGGGCGGGGAGAGCGATGTGAAGCACAACGCCGTGTAATATCGGCGATCGGTTGCGCAACGTGTTGCGTTCAGGCGTGTGTGGGCGCGAGGCATATGAGTTGACGTCATTACAGTCCGCGACACATTATTGAGTTAAGTACCCGGATCAAGGAGGTTGTTGCCTCCTTATATACGTCGTAAACTTATGACCGAGGAATAAACGTCACTGATAGATAACAGTTAACGAGTCGCGAATCGTCTTAAATTTTGTTGTTTTTTGTTGCGTGCTTATATACAGAGTGAAGTTAGTGAGCTACGAGATGAGGTATTTTGTATGTCAGCGGCACGTGGGCAAGTTGACCGGCGCAAAGTGACTTTAACCTCAAGTATTTAAAGTGAGCCAGGCGACAGTGGCTACAGGGAGGATCACCGCCCGGTACAAGAGCCATCGATATCAAAACCGATGGGACGGACATTTTGAGACGTGACGCCCAACTCCACAGCTCGACCTTTCGCTTCGTGTACTGTTCCAGCACTGATCTTGATTTTTCGTCATCAGGGGCACAGTGCTGCCAAGTGCTCGTGCAGACAAATCATATATTACGAAACTGCGCCCTCATAATCGACCCTTCCGATGGCATCGAGAGACACTCTTGAGCTGATGCGTGTACACCAACGGGCTATTTACAAAACAATCTGGTTTGGCCACGCGAGGTGTGGGCACCGCGTGCGCAGAAATCACATTCGCGCTGCGATGATATATGCCCGCGCATTCGCAGTGCCTACAGAAGCGCCAACCGGGTTGCTTCGATGTCAGAGAGCCTGGTCGATGTAAATGTTCTCATCCGACAAAAATTCGCAGTCCAGAGTTACGTCCAACAAACACAGGATAGCGGCTTTCGTCCTTCATCTCTCCATGTCGTCTGGCAACCACTCAGTTCCCTGTCGTTCCCGTAGCAGCTATAGCACGCTATCTTTGGGAAGACGCAGAGTGCTCTCGTCTTTATCTTTGATGCTGTCCGGCCGTCCTGTTTATGTCGGCCCCGGAGAGAAGTTCCCGCTGTGTGAAAGCCGCATGTCGGCAAGTCGACCAGAACGGGGCACTTGGTCGGACCGAAGCCCCCTCCCATGGTTTTGGGTCTCGGACCGCCGACAGGAGAGATAGGTCCCAGCTTTGGGCTTCGGCAGATGGGCTATATTATCTTGAGAGGTTCGTATTTGTCCTTTTTTTCGTCGTTTGGTTCGGGATGTTTCTAGGGCCTGCTGAAGGCTTCTTTAAGAGGGACCCCATCCACGCGCTATCTGCAAGGGTGGTCCGCGTCCAAACAAATGTTGCGGGGGTCTCGGTCACGTGTAGGGAGGAATCCGTGGGACGTTTGGACGCTGGATGTCTGGTCTTCTTGTTCTACTTGTGGTATCGGAAGAAGATTGAGATGAGGGTGGTAGAAGAGCGGATAGGTTAGAAGCGGCACATGGCCCCCAAAACTTGTCTTTCTGCTAAAAAAAAAAAAAAAACGAAAGAAAAGAGGAAGAGAGAGAGAGAGAAAGCGCCCCAGGCTGTCGTTCAGGGCACCCGTTCCATTCTCCGTCACGTCGTATCATGAAGAGGCGAGGAACTAATGTAAACATTGATGCTAGGGGGAGAGACACAACGCGCGATAAGAAAATTATACGAAAGAAAAAAAAACTAAAGGAATTTTTCAAACATTTTTCTTTCTTTTTGCTCAGTCCACATTATTTGTTTTTTAGACGCCAACTTTTGTTTTTAGGTCAGTAAATGCGAAGAAAAAATGAATGTATAACCCGGAAAGATGTAGGGCTCACTATAAGGCAAGTCGATTCCTACCTGGTTAGGGGTTAGGGAAACCGAGGATGGTTAAAAAGGACATTACGAATTTCTGCATATGTTCGTGCATAGTTAGAAAGGTGACCTTAACGAAAGCAAAATCATTTCTTGTGTCGCCAGCATCATCATGCTGAAGAATAAAATTAAAATAAAACTACTTAACAACAGCATAAAAAAAAGAAACAGGGTGGAGTGTAGAAATTTCGGTAATGCTATGCTATAGGGAGTATTCACTGGCGGCCATATCCGTGTGGGCTGCTGCTGAGCGCGTGCTGACGGCGAGCTTCCGCAGTCCTTTTGGAGCGTGCATTTAGCACCATCAAGGTTGCCAGTCTTAGCAGGCTATTAATGTGAGCTCCTTCTGAGCATGCGCTCTAAGCATCGCCCTCAATTATGGCGTCCAGTGAATACCTCCTATAAGGAGTATTCACTGGGCGCCATCTTTGTGGGTGCTGTTTAGAACGCAT